TGGGCATAGGCTGGTGTGTGGGAAGTGTTTCCCAGAGGCCTTCAGGTGCCTTGCTGGTGCCTCTCCTGCTGAGGCTTTGTGCCCATCTGTCACTCCAATTACCATTCACTGTACCACAAGTCGATCTACACTGAGATGGTTAAAAGGTCTGGTGAGTCTGTCTGTTAGATCCTGGATGTCTAGGATCCCTATACCCTCTCTCCCCAGTGTGAAGTTATTATGTTATGCAGCATTGCATTACTGGAGTGGACATCAGCTTTGTGGGCACTAGAAGAGGGCAGTTAAATGCTAGTGGGGGCAGCTGAAGATCCAGCGGCTCCTTCAGGGGTAAGCACTACAAGTGCTTGCTGCATGTATCTCATTTGGCTTATTTTTCATTTCGGTGGCGGTCTCTCTAATGGGGATGAGTGACATTGGCTACAATTGGTGGCTTTAAGGGCATTATTGGCAAAGAGTAGGATTTTTCAATCGTGGTGGCGCTAATGCTCGCTCTTTTGTGCTTTCATGTTTCAGAACCTTCTGAAAGATCCAACGTTTGCTCTGCCTTACTGGAATTTTGCCATTGGTGGGAACAAGTGTGATATTTGCACTGACGATCTGATGGGTTCCAGGAGCAATTTTGGACAGAACCTGCTGAGCCCCAATTCAATCTTCTCTCAGTGGAGAATTGTCTGTGAACATGTGGAGGATTATGAGAGCCTAGGAACGATCTGCAACAGTGAGTAAATGTTCATGGTTGGCTCTGATGGGAAGGTGAACGTGCCTAATGCAGCATAGTCCTGAAGTAAGGGAATCTTAATCCTTAAATCTTATAATCTACAGGTACATCTGGAGGCCCGATCAGGAGAAATCCTGCAGGGAATGTGGCACGGCCCATGGTGCAAAGACTTCCCGAAATGGAAGAGGTTTTGCTCTGTCTGGAAGTGAACTTGTTTGACACGGCACCGTTCTTCTCAAATTCTTCTGAAAGCTTCAGAAATGCAATAGAAGGTACGGTACACCCCCCAGGTGGCTCTAACACTGCCGGTGAAGTCACTGTTGTCCATATGTACAAACATTCTTTGAGGTATTGGTATTGCGCCAACAGTTTGCGCAGTGCTTTACAATATAAGGAAGACATTACAATTCAGGACAAGATGGTAAGGAGGGCCCCGCCCCTGAGGGCTTACAATCTGAAAGGGAGGGGGAAGTGCTACATGAGGAGGTAGCTGTGTTGGGATGAATGGTTGAGCGGTTAGGTTGAGGTGGGATAGGCTTCCCTGAAGAGATGAGTCTTAAGGGAATGCCTAAAGGCAGAGAGGGAGATGTATGGACAGGTTGGGGTAAAGAGTTCCATAGGCTGGGAGATACTCTAGTGAAGTCCTGGAGAGAGCATGGGAGGAGTTGATCAGGGAGCTGGAAAGCAGAAGGTCTTTGGAAGAGTGGAGGGGATGGTTAGGGTGATAATTTTGATGTATAGCCGGGGGCAGAGTTCTGCATGGCTTTGCAAGTCTATGTTCATATTTTGAATTGTATCCTTTGGGCTTTATGGAAACTGAAAGGAATGGTTATAGAGCAAGGGAATGTCCAATGTGGTTCATAGACCTTTACTATAGGGCATCTGAGGGAGGTAATAATCATGTATTAATGTTGAGCTCTTTATTCCCCAGGATACAGCGAGCCATCTGGACAGTACAACCCAACCGTGCGAAGCCTCCATAACCTTGCTCACTTGTTCCTGAACGGTACAGGAGGACAGACCCACTTATCTCCAAACGACCCAATCTTCGTGTTGCTGCACACGTTCACAGATGCTGTGTTTGATGAATGGCTGAGAAGACACAATGCAGGTACGATCTGTAGGGGTAAAGGGTATAATATTGAGCAATGGCTCCTCCATACTTGTAGTAGCGGAGCTGCAGACTTTCTGGAGATGCTTCTGCAGGTTACTAAGTCTAAAACTTTGCCCAAGTTCTACAATAACTGAATTGTGTGAGGAAATCGGGTTCCTTCACTGCTTTCTGTTCTGTTGGCCTTGTTGTATACAAGAGCAGAGGTAGGCAAAGGTCAGCCTTCCAGCTGTGGTTGCACCAATTTCCATTAGAGATTCCAAGACTTGCAGCCACAGGCATGATTTTCAGAAGCGGATGTATGATGGGATTTGTATTTTCACCACAGCTGAGGAGCCCGGAGTTTTCTTACACTATCCTAGAGGTTGTATGTATGATCTGTGCACATGGACTGCTACTGCTAATGTCCAGTCATCGTTATGGAACTTTTGTGGTCTTGTAAATGTATAAAAGCACATGGATGACCTGCAATGTATACTCTTCACTTTGTACCAAGTCGGTAGCTCTAACTATAGGACCTCCTTTTTGGTTTTCTCCAGATTCTACTCAGTATCCGCTGGAAAATGCTCCTATTGGCCACAATAGACAACACAATATGGTTCCTTTCTGGCCCCCAGTGCCCAACAGGGAAATGTTTGTAACGGCGCCTGAGAACCTGGGTTACATGTATGAAATTCAGTGGCCTAGTAAGTATATGTGTGCTTGTCTGTACTATGGGAAAACAAGCAACTACATGGAAGATGTTGGCCAACAGGGAGATGGGCTCTTGGTGGTCACAGAACTGGGGCTTACAAGCGGTATAATTATATCCAGGTTAAGAGGCTCCATAGAGAAGATCTGTATCTCTTTCCAACCATAGGGAATCATTGTTTTGTAGTCAGAAGATCCAAGATGGCTCACTGGATTCATTGTGGTAACACAGTAGGTTTAAATGAGCAGCATTGGAAGGGTAAAATGTATTCTTTCCAATATTGGAGCTGATGTAGCTCACTGTAGTCACGTGTTGGCTTTATAGATCTTATCACTCGGGTCCCAGTCTCCTCCAGAGCAGTGACACAGGGATTTAACCCCCCCCCCCCCCCGCTCTGTTCCTCCAGCACTTTTTTGGGGGGGACAAACAGGAGGGAGCAGGCGTCTCTGATGTCAATCAGGCAGACAGGTGGATCCAAGTGGACCAACAACATTGTTGGGATCCTTCTCGACTCTGCGCTGTCAGCAAATCAGCCAATACGTCATTCCTGATGTGAAAGTATCTGAATCGGTTTGTACCCTTTACTGTGTCCAACCAGGAAAAAAAAAACGTGCTGGTACCTACAGGCAAGGCCATCCCTTTAATGAGCCATGCTGAGGCTATTGCCTCAGGTGGCCTGGCTTTGGGTCATTTGGTCAGGCAAAGTGGCATGGCCGCTCTGCTACAAAAATGTTTGCAGTGTGCCTGCCACCCACTGTCTGCCACTTTCTGCCCAGAGTGTCCCATGTTTGTGTAAAGGCCAACAAATCCCCCTGACCAGCTATTTGTAACCTTAGCTGCTCTGGCTAGCATCCCACCTAGCTGGGCAGGACGTCCTCACCAGTGTCTTAGCCTATACCCACCTGTATTTCCTTGAATCTTTGTCTTTTTAGATATGTACACCATTCCTGTGTGAAAGTTGGAGCTTCCTATAATAAAGACTGGCCACTGCTGCTCTCACTCCTTGTGCAGGGTGACTGGTCTTGTCTCCGCCCCCTCCAGTCGTCTTCTGCAGGCAGCCTGTAGTGGGGCCTGTTGGCTACAGTAGCTATGTAGCGGCCGTGTATAGCAGTGATATCTGGGTTTGGAAAGGCATTTGATGCCCATGAAGTGGTTTTGTTATAAAATGTTTAAAAAAGTTTTTGGTCACTACAAAAGGGGAAACATTTGATTCCTCCAATACAATCCAGACCCCTATCTAGGCACGCACCCAGGAAAGTAAGGGCAGTGGCTGTACACCCCCTTCCTGTACCATACCTGGAGACAGCCTTTTAACAATGTGAGTTACTTGCAAGGGGCGGGGAGTAGTTAAGCTGCTTCCCTCCTTTCAAACCACCCTTGTCCAATGATGAGGGACAACACTCTCTTCCCTACGTCGGTCTCCAGAAAGATGGGAGGGGACTTAGAGGAATGTTGTCATTCCCTTTTCATAAGGGGGGGGGCTCCAGATATCTACCCCCTTGGGCTACCAAGTTACCCCTGTACTCATTCCCCTATCATGCATGCCCCAAAACAAAATGCTAAATGTTTGTCCTTTTAAAAAGTAAAGCATATACCCTCCAGGAAAACTACCATGGATGGCATCCAGCAATGTAAATCCTTGTCAATCACCTGACTCCAAACAAGGTTTTCCCACCACACTGTCAAATGGTAGATCCTCAGTGCAGCTGTAATGTAAACACTTCACCAGGGGTCCTGGGTGACCTCATTGATCACAGATGGTCATTGTGACGGATTCCCTTATACCCTGAATGGATATCTCCATCTTAAGGCTGTTCCCTGGGTGCTGGAGCCAGAAGCAAGTGAATATA